TAAAGTATTAACTTACTAATAATGATTGTTTAATAAGAAAACAAATGTTCTTCGATTTATCAAAGAGTATATACAATTTCTATTTCTATACTTATGTCATATTTCCAGTGCTGGATTAAGGAGGTGGGGAGGGGAGGGGGAATAGAAGGACTATAGCCTCGGGATTCACAATGTTAGGGGCTGCGAAATAGTCAAGAGGACAATTCGATGTTTTTTTTAGTCATTTTTACGCTGTGTTACATAAAAAAGGCCGCCAAAATAATGCAGCCCCTGAAAAGTCCAACAAGATTCAACTAATAAAACTAACACTAGATTATTTATTTATAAATAAAAAAGTTTTTTCAATAACTGTTTTATGCGTAGTTTGAAAAGTTTTTTTGCGTAGTTTGAAAAGTTTAACACATTTGAAACAATTTTTCCTAGTAAGATGGACAAATGAAATAATTAAACCATTTAGTTACTGTAGAAATTTAATTAGCTAAATAGAAATCAACTAAAAACATTAAATTACTATGTGGGGAGGAAGCGGAATTGCTTCACAATAACACTGATAATATTTAGGGAGTGGGCTTTACAATTTTAATAAGTATTAACAACAGAAAAATATAACTTTATAACGAGTTTGTAAGAATGGCTGAAGCAAAAATAATTGAAGTTTGTAAACCATATTCTAAGAACTTAAAAACTTTTCTTTCTTGGGGGAATGAATCAGTTATCGGGTTTACTGAGGAAAATGGATTAGTGGTTAAAATTATTTGTATTAACTTTGATGATTACTAATAATTTCATTAAAACGCAGTTATTATTGAAATTTTTTTTGTTTACAAAATCAATCGCACAAAATGATTTAAAAGATTACATTTGAATAAAATTCACATACATAAAATTACACACATAATAATACATTTTTATGCATGCATACTAATACATTATTATGCATAAATTTACATGAATAAAAATACATACACAAAAATACATTACATATATAAAAAATACATCCCTTATATAAAAAATAAGAATAATACAATACAATCTGTAATGTATTTACAAAACATTGATAAGTTAAAAAAGATAAATTTAAAACATTTATTTTTGTAAACAAATAATGTTAGTTTAAAACATTTATAGCTTTTTAAATATGGCTCCGAGAACTAAAATAATAGTTCCTTTAATAGTATATTCTTAAACAATTTATGCTAGAAATCTCAACGAAAACTTAACAAAACTCAATAACTACAATTTTTTAAAATGTTTCAACAGAATACTCTAGAAATTTCGCTTTGTACTTTTTGAACCATTAGAATTAGTTGTTCCTAGATTTTTTGTGTTCGCAAATATTCTTTTTTTATTTTTCTGCACAAAGATGTTTGAGAGTATTCGAATTTATTTATGTTTTCATGTATGTTCTTAATAAAATATTTTAAAAATTACGATAAAATAATGAACTTAATTAAGGAAACCTACATAAATTTAAATGTTCTTAAATCGACTAAAAAATCTGGCCGGTTTTTCGCAACTAAATATTATTTCCGTGGTCAGTTATCGAGTGCAATCGCACCCGCTTCCTGACAAAGCCTATATATTAGAGTTGTTAACCGGAGGATTTCGTGCAATTCCGGAAAAACAACATTCTTTCGTAAGGAGATTGAGAACACGGAATTACATTTTTTCGTACCGAATGTTACAAAACATTTAAAATCGCCGATGTTCATTTTGCAAAAGCCACTTCCGAAATTTAGCATTTCGCAAGTTGACATACGAAACAAAACTATTTTGCAACATACGAAAGTAGCAGTTTCGGAAGTCGCACTTGCGAAACAAACATTTTTGCCAAACGACGTTTTGAAGTCTATTAAGAAAATTTGTTTGCCAGACTGATTTTAATTGTAAAAATTAACATCTTTAAATCCCAAAATGTTTATAATGAATTTTTATTTTCAGTAAAATAACTTTTTAAAATTTTTACGGTTTTATTTTTAGAAATATTGATAAAAAATAAAATTTCTTTCGAAACGAAAGTATTTCGGATCACAACATACGAAAGAATTCTTAACGGAAATAAACTTACGAAACGTGCCATAATAAATATATACAACAATGTTTTTCGAACTCATTACGTATATTAAAAATAAGAATGATGGGTAGGAATATACATGTTTTTTTTTTTAAAGCATATGAAATTTTTGAAACAGGTACGAATATGCTTAAGCAAATAGTAAAAAGAGGCTCAAAAATATGCTTTAGCGTAAGCATATTTCTGATAAAATATACCTATTTCAATAATTTCTAAAAGTGTGCACGTTACTAAAATTCTAGCAAATTTTAAAGGTATGTAGAGTACTGTTTGAATACGCTTTTTAAAGTATAGATCATAGAAAATTTTGTTTTTTAATTTTAATAAGATATAAATTTGAGTATAAGATTGTATAGTTCAATCAGTTAGATACGTGATAATTCGCCGCAGAGATCCGGGTTCGCATCCCGCAGCCATTGTAACTTTTGTTCATCAAACTCTTTTTACTTAAGATAGCATTTTTTTAACCTCCATGTTCTATATTACAGATCTTTCGTTGCCTTCA